TATGGTCTTCTATGGATTAGTTCTCCCATTTGTAGTGTTTACTTGGCTGATTGAGTATAAAGGTATACGGAAAATAATTGTAATAAGTCCCAGAGAAAAACTGTACGTGAACGTGTAGAATTATGGTATTCTATGGATTAGTTCTCCCATTTGTAGTGTTTACTTGGCTGATTGAGTATAAAGGTATACGGAAAATAATTGTAATAAGACCCAGAGAAAAACCTGTACGTGAACGTGTAGAATTATGGTCTTCTATGGATTAGTTCTCCCATTTGTAGTGTTTACTTGGCTGATTGAGTATAAATGTATACGGAAAATAATTGTAATAAGTCCCAGAGAAAAACTTGTACGTGAACGTGTAGAATTATGGTCTTCTATGGATTAGTTCTCCCATTTGTAGTGTTTACTTGGCTTATTGAGTATAAAGGTATACGGAAAATAATTGTAATAAGTCCCAGAGAAAAACCTGTACGTGAACGTGTAGAATTATGGTCTTCTATGGATTAGTTCTCCCATTTGTAGTGTTTACTTGGCTGATTGAGTATAAAGGTATACAGAAAATAATTGTAATAAGTCCCAGAGAAAAACCTGTACGTGAACGTGTAAAATTAGGGTCTTCTATGGATTAGTTCTCCCATTTGCAGTGTTTAATTGGCTGATTGAGTATAAAGGTATACGGAAAATAATTGTAATAAGTCCCAGAGAAAAACCTGTACGTGAACGTGTAGAATTATGGTCTTCTATGGATTAGTTCTCCCATTTGTAGTGTTTACTTGACCGATTGAGTATAAAGGTATACGGAAAATAATTGTAATAAGTCCCAGAGAAAAACTTGTACGTGAACGTGTAGAATTATGGTCTTCTATGGATTAGTTCTCCCATTTGTAGTGTTTACTTGGCTGATTGAGTATAAATGTATACGGAAAATAATTGTAATAAGTCCCAGAGAAAAACTTGTACGTGAACGTGTAGAATTATGGTCTTCTATGGATTAGTTATCCCATTTGTAGTGTTTACTTGGCTGATTGAGTATAAAGGTATACGTAAAATAATTGTAATAAGTCCCAGAGAAAAACCTGTACGTGAACGTGTAGAATTATGGTCTTCTATGGATTAGTTCTCCCATTTGTAGTGTTTACTTGGCTGATTGAGTATAAAGGTATGCGGAAAATAATTGTAATAAGTCCCAGAGAAAAACTTGTACGTGAACGTGTAGAATTATGGTCTTCTATGGATTAGTTCTCCCATTTGTAGTGTTTACTTGGCTGATTGAGTATAAAGGTATACGGAAAATAATTGTAATAAGTCCCAGAGAAAAATTGTACGTGAACGTGTAGAATTATGGTATTCTATGGATTAGTTCTCCCATTTGTAGTGTTTACTTGGCTGATTGAGTATAAAGGTATACGGAAAATAATTGTAATAAGTCCCAGAGAAAAACCTGTACGTGAACGTGTAGAATTATGGTCTTCTATGGAATAGTTCTCCCATTTGTAGTGTTTACTTGGCCGATTGAGTATAAAGGTATACGGAAAATAATTGTAATAAGTCCCAGAGAAAAACTTGTTCGTGAACGTGTAGAATAATGGTCTTCTATGGATAAGTTCTCCCATTTGTAGTGTTTACTTGGCTGATTGAGTATAAAGGTATACGGAAAATAATTGTAATAAGTCCCAGAGAAAAACTTGTTCGTGAACGTGTAGAATTATGGTCTTCTATGGATTAGTTCTCCCATTTGTAGTGTTTACTTGGCTGATTGAGTATAAATGTATACGGAAAATAATTGTAATAAGTCCCAGAGAAAAACTTGTACGTGAACGTGTAGAATTATGGTCTTCTATGGATTAGTTCTCCCATTTGTAGTGTTTACTTGGCTGATTGAGTATAAAGGTATACGGAAAATAATTGTAATAAGTCCCAGAGAAAAACCTGCACGTGAACGTGTAGAATTATGGTCTTCTATGGATGAGTTCTCCCATTTGTAGTGTTTACTTGGCTGATTGAGTATAAAGGCATACGGAAAATAATTGTAATAAGTCCCAGAGAAAAACCTGTACGTAAACGTGTAGAATTATGGTCTTCTATGGATTAGTTCTCCCATTTGCAGTGTTTACTTGGCTGATTGAGTATAAAGGTATACGGAAAATAATTGTAATAAGTCCCAGAGAAAAATCTGTACGTGAACGTGTAGAATTATGGTCTTCTATGGATTAGTTCTCCCATTTGTAGTGTTTACTTGGCTGATTGAGTATAACGGTATACGGAAAATAATTGTAATAAGTCCCAGAGAAAAACCTGTACGTGAACGTGTAGAATTATGGTCTTCTATGGATTAGTTCTCCCATTTGTAGTGTTTACTTGGCTGATTGAGTATAAAGGTATATGGAAAATAATTGTAAATAGGTCCCTGGGACTTAAATGATGAATTGAATTGAGAGATAAACAGTTAACTCCGGG